GACGTGTGCTCTTCCGATCTAGTAAACGATTCATTAAATCGAAAACGAGCAAGTTGTAGGTAAGTTACTGATTTTTCAACTTTGTTCTCTTGTGTAACTGATATATATACATTTGGACTTTATTGATGAAAATTTTAAATTAAAATCTGACATTAATACGTTGATTTACTAATTAAGTAAAGCACCGTTTATTTTATAAGTTTGAAATGTTGAACAGTAAGCGGCATTTTCGTTGTCCTGAAACTTAAAACCGACTTTCGATCCTTTCAGCATTTCATCATTTACATGTACTGTTTTAATAAAAAATTAGAAAATTGGCGTAAATATTTTTCAGGAGGAAATATATAGAATAATGGCAACCGAATAAACAAGAAAATTAATATATTTCATAATGTGATGTAACATACTGGTGGCTATTAGTAACATTGAAAACGCATACAAGAAAATTTTAGTATTTAAAATATTAATAAAATTAACGCACTTAACCGAAAGTAGCAATATAGGAAGCATATAACTATTTTGATTAAATAATTTTAATTTGATTTTAGTATAAAAAAATAATGTTCACTTTTTAAAAACACGAATATTTCATTGCAAGTATAATCATTACACTTTATCTAAATATAACATATCACTATAATACGTATTTGCTTAAATAAGTTATTATGAACAAATAAATAATAAATTGAATTTATTTGCGCGTTTCGTCTCGTTATTTTTATTTTTGTAATTTTAAATATTAATTTTAACATGTCAGATATATAACTTCGAGATAAAATAGTATAAATTTTATTTATTGTGTTGCCATTATTTTGTATGTTTCTTTCTGAGAAATAGTCTAAACAAAAAGAGTAATATTTTTTTATTAGATATAGGTATAGCAATATATATGTTTTTATTGAATATAATCTGCACAATGCATTCAAAAAATTCCGGGACTAAAGTTATAAAAAATTGAATTTTTGTAGATAAACAAAATTTTATTTTTTATCTTTCAAGTTACTTGCAACATACGCTCCTTCTCTCTCTGTACATGTTTGGTAGCGCTCGTACAACCGCTGAAAGGCCTTGGAATACTTTTTGCTCGGAATGGTCTTTAAAATTACTATCACGTTATATTTAATTGACTACACATCCTCGAAATGAGTTCCTTTAAGGCCTGTCTTTATTTTTGAGAAGAGAAAGAAGTCTGCTGGGGCTAGATCCGGCGAGTAGAGTGGGTGGTTAAGAACTGCCACCGATTTTTGTGCCAGGATTCTTGTCACAATAATAAGCGACGAATGTGAAGGAGCAGCCGGAGCGTTGTCATGTAGAAGAAACCATTTTCCTGACTGGCGAAATTCCGGTCTGATCAGGCGAATTCATTTCAAAAAACGATCCATGGCCTCGTAATAGAAGGCTCCAGTCACAATTTGGCCCTGCGGTACGAATTTCCAGTAGTGCTCGAGAATCAAAAAGTCAACATCGTCTTGGCCTTCGATTTTGTCGCCTGTACTTTTATCAACGGGCCTTTTGACGTTTCGTGGATGAATCATATTGAAAACACTACGACTCGTCACATATGATGATGCTGTTCAAAAATCTCGAGTATCGGTCCATTTTACAAAATCTTTTGCTGCCGCAATGCGCTGTTCTTTTTGCTCCGGCGTTAACGAGTGGGGCACAAAACTTTGCACACACTATTCTTTTTCTTTGTACGTCATGAACGATAGTGTGTACACTATCACTACACTAATATGTAACTTCTTTGCTATCATATCAATACACACACAGCCACTTCTTCCGGTTGTTAGCAAATAGAATAATCCCAAAGAACAACAACGCATTTTATTTCCTTCTAAAATTTTCGGCCAAACCGCAATATAAAGGTTTTTACCTTTATAGCATGGGCTCCCGCTTTTTTTCTAAGAAGGGAGGTCATGAATAAATTTACGTACCATTTTTAATCGCAAAATAAAAGTTACAACTCGCTTTTCTAATCTCTGTCGCTCGCGAATCAACAAAACATGAGAGAAATGGTAAAAAGTGGAAAAGTCGATTTGAATGGATGCCGGCTGGAAAGAGAGATAGAAGAGCGATAAATCTTGCAGCGAGCAATAAATTATCGTAAAGAATGCTTTCGCGTTTCGAAACACGACGGGAAGAACAATAATTTTTTAATCGGAAAAATTCTCCAATTCTAATTTCTTCCAAATCTAATTTCAGAAATGGCCCTAAACACATCGTCATGGTTGAATCAATGCTTCGTGGAGAAGATTCTGCGAAAATCGGAAAGCGATGATTCGATTCAAGTGATCGATGTATTTTCGAATCGGGGCTCGAACAAGGGTGACAACTATATTTGCGATATTGTCAGGATTACTGCTGAATTTTCGCGTGAACAAGAAGGCCGTAAGATTGTAGAAAAGAAATCAATCATCCTTAAAGTTTCGCCTACATCCGAAAGTGTTCGATACAAATGGGTAAGTTGATTTAACTTATACAATGTATTTCTAAAAAGAAAAGAAAAAGAAAACAAAGGAAAGAAAGAGAGAAAAAAATAGAAGCGATGAAATTACAGCCAATTTTATTATTTCGGTATAAATTTCTACTTATCGCAAAGATTAGTATAAGTACATATTTGTGAGTAATTAGGAATTAAAGATAAAATTATTTTTATAAATCAAGTTTAAAATTAAAAAATATATTTCAAGAAAATGCGCTTTTCAGTCATTTATCTCAAGACGAATTTTAATTGTGGATAAAATTTTCATTTACTTGCCATTTGGTAAGCCGAAACTTGCTATCACACACACGTTCTTTTTGTTCTATAAACTTTTACATCATAATTAAATAAACTTGTTACAGCTCACAAAAGCAGCTTTCTTTCGTACCGAGGTATCAATGATGTTAAATACTTTGGATAAAATGAATAATTTATTAGGTCCAAAGTACCGTTTAAGTGGGAGAGGTTTATACGTGCAAAATGAAAATCCAATGCTTCTGGCGATCGAAGATCTGATGCCTCTCGGCTTTCGCATGACCGATCTGTCTGGTCTTGACTTAGCTCATTCCATATTGGTGCTTCGCGGATTAGCCAGGTTTCATGCAGCCTCTGTAATCGTATGTGAAAAAGTAAATCATCACGCCTTGATTGTATTATTTTATTGCAATTGTAAAAAATTCAAGTCAATGACACGAATACAAGGATCAAACGTTCAATAATAAATAATAAACTCTTAGTGTCAAATATCTAGGTCTATGTGAATCATCACATTTTGATTGCATGGTATGAACATTTCATTGCAACAAGATTATTCTTGTGCTATATGATTCAAAGTTATTTATTAAGAACATGATGCGTAGTATTTAAAAATGTTTAAAATTTTATATAATAGACATTAGTTTGAAATGTGACAAAAATTTACAGTTTTAATTATTCTGCTACTCTGCTAAAAAGATGATTTTTAGTAAAACGTGTAGAATTTTAGAATAACGTGCTTAATACAATTTTACATTCTTTATATTTTATAGAAATTCACATATACACATACATACACATGCATACCCATTTATGTCGTACTTCTACATTTTTTTAGTTATTTATATTCTTCATTATAAATGGGTCACTCTGTATATGTATATACGTGTGTGTATATGTATATATTATATTATTTTATACTATAATTGCATGAATATATAATAAAGAGCAGAAAGTTCTTACAAACATTACCAGCAATTTTACTATTTGTGCTATGTTAATCTTAATTATATTTGCATTCTGACAATGTTTAATCAGTGTATTATATTTTAATTTATTTAGAACAGAAAATCACACATTTTAATTTTTATTTAAAAAAAATAGGAAATATTTTTTGAAAAATAAATTTTGATCTAGAATGAATACATATGCAGTTAACACTAAATACATATATAAAACACATATACATACGCGCGCGTACGCGTGCGATTCAGATTATTAAAATTTTAAATAACATGTATGAAAATATAAAACTTAGCAACTATTTATTTTCTGTTAAGTGATGCACTTAAAACTCAAATAAATTATTGTATCAAGTAAATTGCTAATAATTAGTCACGGAAAATTTATAATTTCGAAAAGTTTGTTTTAAAATTATAAAAATTATTGAGTTTAATAATTATATAAGCAACTAAATCCATTCTATATAAATATCGTGGATCAGAGTATTTATTGAAAGAATATATATGTACATGTCCAATTAGTTATAACCAATGAATACTTTTACATTTACAAAATTATAATTTAATATTAATAAAATTATTTAATTATTTAAATTTAAACTAAAATTATTGGTATTGAGTATTTTCGTTTTTGTGTAGTCTTCATCTTGTATATGACATTCTAAATTATCAATCCGCAGTACATACTTATTACTAGTTACTATATAGTTACTATATAGTTAGTTTACTTAACTATATATTTAATCAAATGCATAAACATATATCAATACGTCCTTGAATAAAAATATTTTAATCTTTTAGGAACCAAAGCAAAAGGAGATGTATACCAGAGGATTATTTAACAACCAGAATCCATCAGAATCGAAGGATTTTTTTAATAGGGGTACTAAAGCTTTATCAGAGGAGGTTGTAAACTGGCCAGAAGTAAAAAAGTAAGTTTTATTGTATACATATATATTATAAACGGCATTTATTGTTTTACTCTGTATAAAACAACATTTAATATAACACAAGACATGTTTAGATTGTTTAGTATAAAAAGACTGAACATACTGTACAGAAAATAGCGAATATAAATACAAATTACGCTGTTTAGAGTAAACATTTATATCGTCTTTATCTGTACAAATTTATGTTTATATGACTTTTATTTCTAGATATTCGGAAAAGATTGCTAAACTCTCCGATCACATGTATCAAATAGCAATAGATGCAACCAAACTCTCTGAGAATGAATTTAATGTTATTAATCACGGCGATCCTCAGATGAAAAATATGTTGTTTAAATATGACAATGATGGTAATCCTACTGATCAGATTTTTGTAAGTACGTTATAAACATACCATCACATACCATCACATTATAAAAAAAATTTTACAACTTTCTATAAATACGAATATTCATTGATTTGTTGTTATTGCTTCATATTGCAATTAAGAACAATTAAGATCAAATAAAATAGTTCGTAAAATCTAATAAATTTTGATACTCACATATGATTCGATTTACAATATATGTATGCTAAAAAGATAATTATTTATATATTACTTTTCCAAAAAATTATTACTAAAAAAATATATATATTTATATATTTATTTATATATACATATATTTGTATATGTAAATAATTGAGTAAAACGTATTACCAAATATACAAATAAATGTATGGATGAAGATCATAGTGAGAGTATCCAGAAAGTATACCATTGATTTTCTCTGCACGGAAAGAAAAATTTTGCTGAATCCAGATTTGATAATTTTTGTTCAATAATCAAAATAATTTTGCAAAATTCAAAGTAATTGCTAGAATATTGAAACGTTTTATAGCAATGCTTATCAGTTTAAACATTCCAAAAAATTATTTTCAGACCTGTTTTTAGCAAAATTTTTAGATTTTTAGACCTTTCAACAAAATCGTTCTTTCCGTGTGGATATTCTCAATATTCTCATAGTACATCACAGAAAGATTTTAGACACTTTGCAGAGATTTTTAGTGGGTTCTTATTAAACTGGTACATATCACTGGATTGAATCAGGAAATTCTGTGATATAACTTTTTTAAAAAGAGTTAAAGTTACTACTATTTGGATTAGAATAGAAAGGTCCAATAGGGATTCAAAGATATATACTAGATATATATCTTTGAATCCCTATTGGACCTTTCTATTCTAATTTATATTTAAGATATATACTATTTAATTTTCATTTTTTAACTTACGATTTGTTCGATAAATGCGCTTATATTTGGCGCTTTACTTTTTTAAAAAAAGGTATTATAAATAATACAATAAATCCAATTCGATCACAATGTTAGCATTCAAGCCTATATGTTAGTATATCCGCCACCTATCCGTCCGCATCGTCTGATAAACTCTCAACTTTCTCATCGCGATTTCCTAAACACGTGTTTCACTTCTTTCCTGGTGCACGGATTTCATTTCCAATTCACTTTTCGGAGGTTCAAGAAAGCGATAAATAAAACATGTTTGTTTGATAATTATAGGTGGACTTCCAGACCTGCGTCTACACATCACCGGCGTTTGATTTTTTATATTTTCTCAATTCAAGTCTTTCGTTTGATGCCATTGAAAACAAGAAAGACGTTTTATTAAACGAATACTATAGCATTTTGTTGATGACTATGAAGCAACTGAACTGCAAGACGCAGCCGCCCACAATGGAGGAACTGAAGGATGCCATAAAGCGTAGGGCTAGCTTAGAAATGGTGTCATCCTTCGTCGTTTTACCGTTAATGCTGTGCCCTAAGACTGAAGCGAAAGATTTTGACGAGATGATGGGCACTGATATTTGGATTAGTCCAGGCTTAAAGAGCGAAGATTTTAAAAAATTAATAATAAAGAGAATTCCACTGTATGATGAGTGGGGTTTACTGGATCTCTAATGCATACTTAATTTTTAATAATCAGAAATAAAAATGAATTTAAAAAATAATAGACATATAATCATAACAAATACAATAAAATTAGTTAACAATATTAGTGCAATAATCATGTTTCTTTTTTAAGGAGGAGACATTGTGGCTACTATTTAGAAATTACTATTATAATATTAGCTTAGTTAAAAAAATAAAAAATTATTCTTTTGTAAAATAGTGTTTTAATTTGTTGATTTATTTAAATTTTTTTAATTTTAAAATACCTTCTTTGTATCATACCAATGTATTAAAAATAATAAAATACAAGCACGCGCGCGCGTACACACACACACACACACACACACACACACATATATATATATATACATATAAGAAAATAGGTATTCTAACTCATAGTTTAAGCATTTAGAAAAATGTAACGAGAAAATATTATATCAAATCAAATAATTTTTATGGATTTTTTTTTTAACAATCAAATATACTAGTCAACAAAATTATTGCGTAGATAAATTTATACCAACATTTTGCATAACTTTAGCCAATCATAACGCTTTGAAAAATAGTGCTATCAAAAAGATTTTTTTTACTCTTAAGAGTAAAGCCTGAACTTAAAGCTTTTAATCAATTTTGAATCTACCTTTCCTCTCATCCGTTATCTCTTGAAAAGTAAAAACATGTTACATCTCCAAAAAAATTGCGTAAATGGACGTACTCTACGGAATGAATTTTTTCCACAAATGTTATGGTAACCACCGTAAAGTTTGGACTTTTTCATACAAATTTAAGAAAAAATAAAACAATATATAATTTTTTTCGCGGAATTATGAAAGTTATCATTGCATTTTTGTTTAATTATTGCCAGCATTAGCATTATCTATGTAGTGCGCACCACAGAAAAGTTGCTGGTCGAATTTTGCGCATTGTGTCAGTGTGTGTGTATAAAAATACACTTTGACTTCTTATGTACATACATATTGCCTTCAGCATATGTTAACAAGAAATAATGCTATTAAAATCGAAGAATATAATTTTTTCGTTTCATATTGATAATATATAATTAATTAAAATGCAGAAGAGTATTAGATGATATTTACACACCTAAGAAAAATTAAAAGAAACTTATTCATCATATTTTTAACGTTTTATACGATACATTAATTACAAAATTGTTGTATGCTCATTTGTGCAAAATTATTGTATTTATTATATGTTTTCTTTGACTTCTATGTTTATATATTATTTATCCCTTGATAACCATATCTGTCAAAAATAGATCTTGTAAAATCTTGCTACAAACTTTGTTGGCGAGAAGCAAATTTAATACAAAATTTGATTCATCAAATGATGTCGACAATATGGTAGCAAACATGTAACAAAATATGTTGACATAATTTGACAGAAAATCGGTATAAAATACGGGCAAATGTATTTTATCATCACTATCATCAGACAGCGGATTGTCATAAAAAAAGCCAAGCAAGATTTACGTAGCGATATATATTTGACAAATTGTTGCCAAAAACCGAGCATGCTTTGCATAGCATTGTCTGACGATAAATTGTCGCCAAAAATCGAATAAGCTTTGCGTAGTGCTACCTGCACTGCAAATCCAAGTGTGTGTACTGTAGTCACTTTTTCGCATTTATACGCGCACTATATTTTTACACATTTTATCTGCGTTTTGCACAAATAAATGCATATTTTTTACACGCTTAATTTTACATTAATATGTGTAAGCGTGTAAAAAAATTTGCATTTAAGGTAAACGTACTAGTGGCTCAACATGTATCTATATCTGAACACGTACACAAAATTTATTAATCTCAAATATTTTTGTTTATTATAATATCAAAATTTAATTGTAGAAATATTTAAAGATTACAATTACATTATAATATTCTGAAAAAAATAATTTAAAAATAAATTTTTGTGTACTTGTTCAGCTATAGATACACGTTCAGCCACTGGTACGTTTACTTTAACAGCTGTGTAAAACACAGATAAAATGTGTAAAAATATAGCACGCGTATAAATGCGTAAAAAAGTGACTACAGATTTACACACTTGGATTTGCAGTGTGACGACAAATTGACGACAAAAATCGAGCAAGCTTTGCGTAGCGTTGTATAATGACGAATTGTCCCCAGAAATTGTGCAAGCGAACAGAATCTCTGCTGAATACTTACAAGACATTTGCATTTTATGATTGCATGTTATCATCTTATCATTGCTCTGTTATCTCGATTAGCTTAGCGTCCGTTTTATTAATAGACAAATCGGAATAAGTTCAATGTTGATCAACCCTCTCAGTTTATTCTCCCAAGATTCAAAATGAATCAGCAAATCTGTCGGTAATAAATAAATGGTGACAAGCAGATCATTAAATGTCGTGATCGTAATGATTGTCATATGCAATGTTAAATACAATCATATGTAGACATTGTGGAATTGCAACTTTCTTTGCAATTGGCCTTACGAAACGGCGCAGTCAAGTGAATATCCAAGTGAAGTTAACTCATCAAATCGAACACGAGCAAGTTATAGGTAAGTGTATCAATTATTATCATCTTTGTTCTTTGTGAAACTGATATACATGTGAACTTTATTGAGATGAGAATTTTAAATAAATAGCTGACATAAAGTACGTTGATTTACTATTTAAATAAAGTATCATACTTTGTAAGTTTGAAGTGTACGTTCAAAATACGCGATATTTTCGTGGCTATATGTGACTTGAGATCGATTTTTGATATCTCCAGCATTTTATCAATTACACACTATTTTAATAAAAAAATAGAAAATTGGGTAAATATTTCTCAGGAAAAAACAGAGAATAATAGCAAAACGAATAAACGTTTAGAAAAAAAAATTAACATATTTTGTAATGTAATGTGACATACTGACGGCTATTATAAGTAACTTTGAAAACGCATACAAGAAAATTATTTAAAATATTAATTAAAAGTAATGCACCTAACAGAAAGTAACAATATAGGAAATATACAACAATTTTGATTACATAATTTTAATTTGATCTCGATGTGAAGAGATAATGTTCACTTTTTAAGAACGCAATTATTTCTTCGCAAGTATACAATTACATGTTACACTTTAAGCAAAACATATCACTTATATATATTTGCTTAAACAACTTATTATGCACAAGTGAATAGTAAATCGACTTTGCGTGTTTTATCTTGTTGTTATTTTCGTAAAGTCAAATATTAATTTTAACATGTCAGATTTATATAATTTCAGAAAAAAGTCTAAACTTAGTTTATTCTGTTGTCGTTATTCTGTACGTATCTTCGTGAGAAATCTTCGTCGAGAAATAGTCTAAATAAGGAAATATTTTTTGTGATTAAATAGGTTTACCAATATATATATATATATACGTTTTTATCAAATATGATCTATATATATAACGTACATGTTATGACCTATTCTATCCAAATTCATTTTAATCTAGTTTATCTGATTCATCATAGATTTATAATTATATGTATTTCAAATATAGACGAAAGATAAAAGCACACACACAGAGTAACTTTTCCGGTTGTTAGCAAATAGAATAATCTCGGAGAGCGGCAACGCGTCATATTTTCTTCTAAAATTTTCGGTCAAATCGCACTATAAAGGCTTTTGCCTTTACAGCATAGAACTCCCCTTCTTTTTCGGGGAAGAATGAGTCGCAAATGAATTCACATATTGCTTTTAATCGCGAATGGAAGTTACAGTTCATTTCTCTTTTATTCACGAACTGAGGATCAACAAAACATGAGAAAAATGGTATAAGAAAGAGTGGAAATGCCGAAATGAATAGAGAGTACCTGGAGAGAGAGAAAAAAGCGTGATAAATCTCGCAGCGAGCAATAAATTATCGCAAAGAATGCTTTCGCGTTCCGGAACATGGAGAAAAAAATAATGATTTGTCGGAGAAATTCTTCAATTCCAAATCTAATTCTAATTTCAGAAATGGCCCTAAATACATCGTCATGGCTGAATCAATGCTTTGTGGAGAAGATCCTGCGAAAGTCGGAAAGCGACGATTCGATTCAGGTGATCGATGTATTCTCGAATCCGGGCTCGAAGAAGGGTGACAACTATCTCTGCGATATGATCAGAATCACTGCTGAATTTTCGCGTGAACAAAACGGTCGTAAAATTATGGAAAAGAAATCAATCATCTTTAAAGTTTCGCCTACATTTGGAAGTGTTCGATACAATATTGTAAGTTGATTTAATTTATACAATGTTTCTAAAAAGAAAAAAAAAGGAGAGAGGGTAAGAGAAAAAAAAATAAAAGTGATGAAACTGCGGCGACTTTTATTACTTTGATATAATTTTTTACTTAACAAAAAGATTAGTTTAAGTATTTGTGAGGAATCAGAAATTAAATAGAAAATTATTTTTATGACTCAAGTTTAAAGAAGTAAATTCATTTCGAGAGAAAACATTCTTCAGTCGTTTCAAGAGAATTTTAATTGCGGATAAAATTATTATTTATTTGCCATCTGATAAGCCGAAACTTTCTATCACACACACGTTCTTTTTGTTTTATAAACCTTTATATCATAATTAAATA